CGTCCCGCCCGGCGCGGGGCGCCCCGGGGCTCCTCCCCCCCCCCCCCGGGCCGCCGGTTACCTAGAGACACTCGCCGGGCTTTTAACCATGCACCACCCCCCCGGCCCGCAGCCGCCCGAGCCAGGAGCGCAGAGCCGTAAGGGCTGTAAATTAGGAGGAAATAACTACCCTTGTCAAAGCTCTTTTCTTCCTCCGTGCACTTTACATTCAGCCCCGAGTGACACCCCTCCCCACCCTGTAATACGAGGAGGAAACCGTGAAATACTCCATTGTGATTGTGACTTCTTCAGGCGAGTTTCGAAACCTTCATTTACCCGGGAGGGACCGCGGAGGGGGAAGCTCCATTGAATTAAAAAGTTTCGAGCTCGATTTCCACCGCCGGTTAGGTCGCGATTTTTTTTTCTGGGGGGGAAGGGGGAAGGGATCGCCCCGAGCCGCACGGTCACTCCAGCAAATATCCACGAGCTCGCGTGAGATTCACCTCCGAAGAAACCGCCTGGTCTGCTTTAGTCCATTGTTTTTTACCGGGGCTTGACTCCAGCATACAACGGTCTCCACGGAGGAGAGAAAAATAGGGCGAAGAATGTAATCGACTGAAGCGGCTTGGATAAAAGTTAGCGATTCATTCCCAAACTTTTTTTTTTTCCCCCCCCTAGAGAAAAAAATCCGATCCCCAACACACCACCCCCCCTACAGAAAACCGCGTTTTCCGCCCTTTCCCTGGGAAATGTCCTCGCACGGGATCCACCGTCTCCAAAAATCGCGAGTTAAATAGCAGCGTTATTAACCAGCCTCGCTAAGGTGAGCCGCATCTCCGCCCGGGACGGAGTATCGCGATAATGGCGTCCCGATAACCGGCCCCCCACATACTATCACAACCCGGCGCCCGCGCTTTCTCTCCTCTTTCCAAGACCGAAACTTGTTCCGCAGCTCCCAAGGCAAGAAGGCAAAAAAGCGAGGGTCGCGGCGGGGGCAGGGAGCGGGGCAGCGGCGGCGCAGCCCAGCCTCCCCGCACCGCCCCGCCCGTGCCCGGGCCCCGCAGCCCCTCGTTACCGGTTCTGACCTCCGAAGGGAAAAGCGCACATTTCCGAGGAGCAGATGCCGGGCAGACGTGCCGAGCAGAGATCCCGGCTCATTTCAATACAACATGCCACGTTCCAGCAATTACCTCTCGGGGCGAGCTCTTTCGGGCTGCCGAGGGGGCTGCTCTCTCCCAAAGTGAGATGAGACCGACCTGCCCCGCCGTCCCCGTTAGACGACTCGAACGTGGGCAAACCAACCCACCTATTTCCCAAGCGCGGTTAAAGGAAGGAGACAAATTACTGCCATTCATCACCGGCGCTGTGAACTCCCCG